AAAAATATTTTAAATAAAGTTCATATAAAATATTTTGAGCTTAAACTAGTACAAAATAAATCATTTCGGGGCAAAAACGAACCCGAATCAGTGAGGGACACGTGGCGCGACTCGGGCCAAGTATTGGAAAGTATAAATAGGGGCTAAATCAGATATTTTGCTGAAGGATCTCTGCATTTCAGCTGGTTCCAACGTGTGAGAAAAAGAGGGACGTAAATAAGTTCACAGTCATCGGCTGCGACGATTTGGCATTGATTACTGGCTCAGAGGGACGTAATTTCACTAGTGGGTGTGTGTCTCTCTGTGCCAAAGCCGAGGACGTGCTTGGTGGCTATTGTTCTGGCATGGTTGTTGCCAAACATCCATGCCTAAGGGTCTAAAGTACTATTTTACTTCTCTCACTAGTTTGAAGAACCACACCACGGTCTGGTCCTTTGATCCTTGCAGCTATGCGTTTCTTGGGGAAGAGAACGCCTTCACGTTTCGCGGTGCATCGGATTTCTTGGATCCAGACTTCATGAACAAAACTTTGTCTACTGTCCCGACAGTGCTCGACTGGGTGATCGGGAATCTGAGTTGTGCACAAGCCAAAGCTGCAAATTATTATGCTTGCCGAGGGAACAGTTATTGTAATGACTCGGATAGTGGTTTTGGAGGTTATCGTTGTAGCTGCAATCAAGGTTATAAGGGCAATCCATACCTAAGCCCAGGTTGCCAAGGTTGGTTTTTTTCTTCGATAACTATTTGTCTAGGGTGCATAAGTAGGTATGGTACAGAAGTGTATAAATGTTTTGGGTTAATGATGCAAGTTTGTGGTGTCTAATTACAACTAAAATGTTGGATCGATCCCAAAAGAACGACAGTTGAAATAACTGCTCGAAAGTCCTGTGTTTTTTGATATTTTTCTAAAACTAATAAAGGAAAAAAAATCCGGCGGTTATGGCCAATTAAACAAACAACAAGTAATTTGTCTAATTTAACTTGCCACACAATATCACTTTTTCCTTTCATATAGAAATGAAAAATAAATGATACGAATTATAACTTTTTGAAGAATTTGAGACATATTAAAAATTTTAGAGTTCAAGTTATAATTTTTATGGAGTTAAGTTATAATTTTTTTGTGCATTTGGAATTGATCACAAAAATTCTAAAAAAAGGTTATAAATGATTCAAAAAAATTATACAGTAATTGTTAAAAATTCGTACATTGTACAATACAATTGGTTTTAGTAAGGTAGCATTCTTTATTATTTCTGACCAATATGACTTGGTATATTTTGTTTGATAGATATCAACGAGTGTGCAGATTCGAACAGATGTGTGTGAAAAGATTTGCATAAACACTCCGGGGAGTTATAATTGTTCTTGTCCGCAGGGACACTATGNTTATTGTTTATGTGACTTGCAACTTCACTCTTGGTTTTGACTACTACGAATGTTGAGAAGAAAAAAGAAAGCACAAGGGACAGTTTGAGTTTGTCTGTAAGAAAGGCTTTTTAATTTTATGGAACAAAGAAACTTGTTTGATGAAGTGTTTTGGTGCTTAGTTTTCGCAAAGCAAGAACTTCAACAGGGATGTTTTAGTAAACATCTAAAACCGCATTTTTTGCCACTTTCTCAGTGAATTGCCAAAGTTTTGTAAGCATTTCATCAAGGCTACCGCACAGTTAAACATGTTTCTCACTCTTCACGCAAGCGCAATGCCGCCATAGGTGACAACAAGTGTTCTTCAATGGATTACGAGTTTACGACATTGAGAGAAAAGTTAAGTAGACTATAAATCTACACATTTTAATGATTTTTGCCCATTTTTATACATGTTTAATATGAGTTTGCTCCCTCTATTTATAGTACCTAATGAACCCATGAAAGGGTGAGTGAAAGTGGTTTGTATTTTGTGAGTTCCATGGTAGAACATACCTGACGTTGGTACATATACACTGAGTTGAAAACAGTAAATGGAGTTATTACTTCCTTATTCCAACATGTAATTATTAAATGACACTCATTCATAATCAAAAATAAGAAAAATCTAATGGATATAAGGAGCTAATATGAACCAATTAGATTGTCGTTTTTCCTATACCATATGCAAAAAAAAAAAAAAATGTCTCATTTGGCATTACAGATTTTTTTGGCTTAAAAAATAAAAGAAAATTGAACAACGTTCTTCATTACACCCGTAGACCATTAAAAATCATTTTGGTTTTCACATTAATGCCAACAAAACCATAACAAAGAATGGAAAAAAACCTAATAGAAACTATCGATAGGTAGTAATATTTCTAAATTTTTGTTGGTGAAGTAATTTTTTATTTTAAAAGTAATATGCTAGATAATCGTCAAAGAATGTCTTTACGAATTAGGAGTCATTCGATTCTAAGAAATCACGAATACTCAAAGTTTGATCCATTTCCTTTAGAATTACTTGCTAATTAGATTTCTCCTACAATAAACTATTCAATGTTTTTTTTAAGGCACTACTGTGACATTATTATGTGGTGCATACAACTTATAAAAAATTGTCACAATACTTATTTCTTAGACCTAAAAGTTGATTTTTTTTTTAAAAAAAATTCTAATAACTTTACAAGTTACAATAATTGATTGAGGATATATAATATGTTATTGGCGATATACACCACATTGTTGGTGAACATAGATAGAGTCCACATCATCTCATGTCATCCACATTCAATTTTTTTATCGTTACCCTTATACGAGGTTTTTCATGAACACCATAACTACAAATATTAGGGCTCAATAAAGTAAAATTAAATATAGACTAAATTCAATTCCGTTCTTCATACCTAACGGAATATATATCTTAAATTTTGATCAACTGATTAAAGACGGTTTCTTGTTAAAAGGCCAGCTATGCAGAGATAAAGGTTCCCAAAGTTGCAATTAAGGCACAATGCACCATTGGCATGTACCCAATTTTTGCACAGTTTCTTCCTTAATTTGTAATAATCTACACTCACGCGTTTTTCAAGGCTTATAGAAGAAAGAACCACCCTTTCCATCACACTTAGTTGTTCCCATAAGTCGTCTATAAGATGCTCAATTCTACTCACGCTCCCTAGGTAAAGCATCGATAACTCCACGTGTATAATCAATTGAAAATGTTCTACACGAAAAGTGTTGTAGTTTTCTTCACAACTAGTATCAGAGCAAGGTTTTCCTTGAATTGCACTTAATGTAACCATTCATTGTATATTTGTCTGATTGATCTAGTACATATATGGGTATGAAGAAGGAATTTTTATGGATATTCCGTATTCCTACCCGATTTTTGCAGAATACCAAAATTTATTCCGTTGGCCTATCCGATTTTTTGCGGTAACCGATCAATAAGGTAGAGTAAGGTTAGGTAGGATCGAAATATTCGAGTAATCAAAAATTTGAACAGTTTTACCTCTACATCTATAAATATCCATAGATTCATTTTGCATCAAACACTTGAAAAATTGCATTAGCACTTATAAAAATCATGATTATCAGAGTCATTATCTTAATGATCTCAGTCATTATCGGTGTCCATTTTTTAGAGTTTAAAAACATATTTATTGGTTTGTTGTGCATATAGACCGCGTTATTTTTTTTGTGTGATCATTATATCCTAGGAAACAAACATTCAAGAATTCATAAGTACGAGAGTAGAGGCAAAATTTGTCTTTAAAGACTTATTGTCAAACAATAACCTTGATCAAGTTCTTAAATCATTCATGTTCTACGTTCAAGTCATTTTATTTTATTTTTACTGTTTTTATTCTTAATTGCATGACACAAATCAGAAATTATAATAAGTATTCTGCGTATTTTATACATCCTCCCAACACTTTCTCCCTCTTACATAATACTATACGATTTAT